TTCCTCATAATATCCTATTAAAATTCATTGCAGTCGTTCTATTTTATACTCAAATGAGTGATAGATGCATTTATTATTGCCTCAACTTACTTCATAATATAATTTCTAAACAACGAAAAGTTAAAATCGATTCAGCCAATCAGTCAACTACTTTATCTTAGCGAACTGAGAAATTGCTTGCTCGCACTTTTGTTAGTTAAGTCTACGTGAGCTGTGAATCGTTGACCAGACTAGAAGTCAAGTTAATCAGTCTCGTATTTCAAGGTCCGTCCAAAAGTTGCGCAGTTGTCAGTAAATAAGATCTAATATTTCTCCTTGTAAGTGTATAAAGTTCTGAAGCATTGTTCAAACATAGCAGAAAGTCATTTTTTAGTTGAGAGAAAACATCACATATACGGATATTACTTATGAAGAGGTAGTAGTGTTTTCTAACTATCTATAAAATGAGAGCATTTTTAGTTGCTCTGTTGATGGTGATTTTCGTCACTGAAGTAGTGCATGCAAGTGAGTATAGTATTGATGAGAATTTTGATTTATTTGTTCTTTAACCTCTTTAGGTAACTAAAAGTTCTTAAGTTTTTAAGAAACAAGTTCCAATACAGAAATATGCAACTTCTTTGCTGACTCTTAAGAAAGAGAAATTCTCCTGTTTCGGTGTAGTTTCTGAATTCAATTACGCTGTCAAATACTAGGATATATTTCGAACCCATCAAAGTTGGTATCAAGTAATATGAACTGGGTTCGCAGGGAGAAATATATATTATTGTGAATTAAGATAAAGAATTTTTAATGTATCAAAACCTATTCTTTTTTTTTTGTAACAGCTCCTGGCTATTGTGAATACAAGGGAATGTTACATACGCTAGATGAAAAATGGTATCCCGATCCCTGTAAATCATGTGAATGCCTTTCTGAAGACAATTACAGATGTCGCAGACCATCTTGTCCTTACATGGAATGCAAAACTGAGAAGTACGTTGTCCCAGGAGAATGCTGTCCCAGATGTAGAGGTAAGTAGAGTATATTTTGTTGTTGGCATAAGTTTGGGGGAATAAGTTCACTTTTAATTGTGGCATAAGTTCGTTTTTAATTGGAAACATCAAGTAACTATCTTAAATGCTATGCTTGTAATTTGGGTATGGCAAGTCATAGTCCTATTATTTAAAATCTTTACTTTTGATTATTTTATAGTGTCCATTTTATTCAAATTTGGTGATTCCAATTTAACCTCACGTATTCTTACCATTGACCCTATTGGTTAGCTACATTACACTTTTTGTTTTGTTTTACCAGGTTTTGATACTATCATGTTTCCTTTAATTTCATTAATACCCTTAGATTCTATTTTTGTCTTTATTATTTTGTTATTTATTTTAAAATCGATGGTTTTTTATTTTTCATTCAATGACTGAAAATAATCAATATCATTAATCAATCAATCAATGAAAATATACAATTTCGTTCTATTTCAATGAATTCTATCATTATTGTGGGACTCCCGCCCCAAAACCAATAGCATTCTTTAACTCATTACATTAAATAAATATTATTTTTCAACGATTTGTGTATTTATTTAATTTTTATTTTTAAAATGTTGCAGTAATATCTATTATAAGTAGAGGACTAGGGGCTAGTTGCGGAGAAGTTTTAACCACATGTAAAATAAAAAAAAATTCATTGAAATTTGCACTAGCTTCATATCAGTGAACCAAAGTAGATACGTTTTCAAATTAATTATTATTATAAAGAAAGCAAGTAAAATAAAAATGAACCTAATTTTAGTCTAAAAATAACAGTCTTAAAAAATAATTTTAACTAATTTTATTTTGAAATTTCATTTTAATTAATATTGAAGCCTATTGAATGTGAAACGAGCAATTTCGTTCATTTTAGCATGAGATTTTTCTTGAATTTTATAAAGAGTAGTAAGTTTATTTATTTTGTTTAAGATATCAAAAATTTGATTTACAATGATTTAGGTCTGTGCTCTCCTATCTTTTTTATCGCCGCGGACCGGTCAACGCTTGATAATTTTATTGCTGCCCGGTGAAGGGAACGGGACATTGATTGTTTATATTTTTAATTGTTTTTTGATTTAATAATTTTAATTTAACTGCATTTAAACATGCATTCAAAATTAAATACAATTGCGTGCACGGTATTAGTGCGGTTTTAGGTGGTCTCTCAGCTCCCGCTTAATATCTCGCCCATGGAAAGTACTACAAACCTGAGAGAAATACACAGCAGTAAATAAAATGGAAATAATAATTTAATGTTCCTTGGGCTGTCCGGGAATATTTATTCCATTCATCGGTACCGATTGGTAGCACGGGGTGGGATGTCATACTTATTCAGGCGACTTGATATACAGAGTGATATACATACCAGGGCTAAAAAAAAACTCAGAAATTTTACCCGTCCCC